CCTCGCGTTGCCGCCGCCCTCCGGGCCTAGCCCGCCCAGCCCGCGCAGCGGCGGCGGCGGCGGGGAGCTGGAGCCGCTGCCGCATCCGCCGCATCCGCTTCTACTCAGTGCCGGCTCCTTGTCCTGCCCCTCATGACTGCGGCGCCTCTGCTGCTACAGCCTTCCCGGCCGCCGCTTGCCGCAGGATGGATGCGGATCGCGAGGCGCTAACCCCGGTGGCTCAGCTCCTCGATAGCCCGCTGACGAGCCCGCCTTGTGAGCCGAAGCAGCCGTCACAGCAGGGCCCCGTGTCCCGCCTCGCTTTCGGGGTGACTTGTCAGTGCTGAGTGAGGAGTCGTCCGGTTTGATCCTAACCCGCCGGGAGCAGGAGCAGTCGTAGCGGGACCTCCCGACCTTCACCGCTTCTCGGGATCGGCCCCTCACCCTCTCTTCATTCACAAATTTGAGCCGGCTCCCCTAGCTCCAGCCGACCGACCATGTCTGGAGGCGCCGCGGAGAAGCAGAGCGGTACTCCGAGCTCCCTGTTCCTCTCGCCGCCGGCGCCTTCCCCCAAGAATGGCTCCAGCTCGGATTCCTCTGTTGGGGAGAAACTGGGCACGGCGGCGACCGACGCTGGAACTGGCAGGACTGAGGAGTACCGGCGTCGCCGCCACACTATGGACAAGGACAGCCGGGGGGCAGCCGCGACCACGACCACGACTGAGCACCGCTTTTTCCGCCGCAGCGTCATCTGCGACTCCAATGCCACTGCGTTGGAATTGCCCGGCCTCCCGTTTTCTCTCCCTCAGCCCAGCGTAGCCGCGGGGGTTCCACAGAGTACTCCACCAGAGCCCCATCGCGAGGAGACCTTGATCGCTGCCGTCGCTGCAGAGGTAGCCCAGCAGCCTCCCGCCGCTGTTGTTGCCCCTAGGGAACCCGCCGTCGAGGGCCCTGCGGCCACGACTGCCCCCAGCAGTATCAGCAAAGACCGCCAAACTTCCCCGCCCGACCATGTGGGGAGCAAAGAGGAGCCTCCATCGACGAGAAGCGGCAGCGGCGGCGCCGGCGCCAGCGCCAGCGCCAGGGAAGCGCAAGAAGAACGGAGCCAGCAACAGGATGATATCGAAGAGCTGGAGACCAAGGCCGTGGGAATGTCCAATGATGGCCGCTTTCTCAAGTTTGATATCGAAATTGGCAGAGGCTCCTTTAAGACGGTCTACAAAGGACTGGACACTGAAACCACTGTGGAGGTCGCCTGGTGTGAACTGCAGGTATAGCCCCGCCTACTTTATTTTACCTTGGTTTGGATCCCAAATGTGGCTCCGTTACTCCAGTTTATCAAGTTCACCCTTTACTTGTCATTCCCTTAACCGTTCGCCCTGAGTGGGGGTAGGCCAACTTTTGGAAGAGATTGAAACTAGATTTTGGGGCATGTACCAGGGAATTATTCATTAGCCAGCTAGGGAAGGAGTAGTGAAAATCGTCGGTACAAACGCACTGCCTACTTATTGTTATAGTGTCTGGCAGGAAACTCTGAATTAGTGGGGAAGTTTTTGAGTTAGGAAAGTACAGTCTTTTTGACTTGTACATTTTAGCCTCATCAGAGGCTCTGCAGTGATGAGCTGCTGGTGTGTTACATGGGTGTTTCCATCCCTGAGATCAGACTGTTCTTTTTTAATAAGAACGACCTTGTTCATAAATGACCTTCCTTTGGCTATATCTTACTTGGCGGTTGCACAGGCATTTAATAATAACTACTCTAAAAAAGACTTTCTTCTCTGGCTAAATGCTTTGGGACTAGTAAGGTACAATAAGTGTTTGATATCGAGCCACCTAATAATGCTTAAGCCTTATTTTATGGTAGCTAGCAGTGATCGACATTGTTAATACAACTAGTATGTCCTCAGCCCATTCACTATACAGTTAAATAATTGTTTTAATTTTGTTATAAAATATTTTTAAGCCATACTTTCCCAAGAGTCCATAGGCGTTACAGTGCTTCTCTTTTAACCTCTCAGGGAGGTCTTCGTGGTGTAAATAATGGTGTGTCATTCTGGTTGACAAGTATATTCTAGGTTTAAATAGCTGGGTTTGGGCTTCTTGTTGCTTGACCTGTAACAACTTGATTTCCTCATCAGGAAATGAACATAGGTTATTTATTGGAAGAAGCAGAGTTACACTGAATGAAAAAGGCATCTTTTTGGTGTGAAGAATGCCATTAACCATATTCTTCTTGCCAAGAAAATGGACCAAACTGAAATAGGATATGAAAGTAACAGACTGGTCTAGGAATTTTGTTTTATCCATGTTAATAATATTTAATTCTTTGAATGTCACCTTCCAAATGACCAAGGCTATATCAAATGTGAAGGGAAAATTAACATGTGGAAGGAAGTAAACTTAAAAACTGACAAGTTCTTTAGAGCATAATTTCTTAGGTATTACAGTTAATGATATTAACTTGTAAGGCATTGTGAAATTACTACTCAATTTTATAGTGGTTTAGAGTTGGGAAGGTGACGGGCCTTTTTAAAAAAAACTTTTCAAACTATAATTTTATTGCTATTGGTCAGTCTTATTCAAAAACTTAGGTCTGATTCCTTTTGGTTTACAGGCAAAAATTTAGTTTACAGGTAGACACCTATTTCTTTTTTGTATCCAGGGTGCCTATTGCTACTGATTCTGGCTTTTATTCTTCTGTTACAGCTTCATATTTGAATAGGTGCTTTTAAACAATTTTTTTCATTAATTGGTTACCTTACCCTTTTAAGACTGTACCCAAGTAAATGTTGAGCACTTTATGGGTTAATTTTGGTAATTTCAATTATTTACCTTTGAAGACTTCTGTGTGTGCATTTTTCTTTATCATCTGGAATTTTCTGATAGTTTATTTATCTTGGAACTAATAGTACAATGGAAAACACTCAGTTTGTCTAGTATCACAATAAGATCTACATCTAAGCATGTCAGTTTTTCTTAGAACTCGTGGCTTTTTGGATTTTTGTTCTCTATCTAGTCATGGACATGATAAAACTAAAGAATATAAGGATTTGGCTGCAGAACCTCTAGCTCATTGATTGGTACCCTGGTTTAGAAACTTCCAAATGTCATTTGACCCAACTTCTATAATTTTTCATTTTGTTTCTTAGAAATGTGATTATCTTGGCCCCAGAATCCTTTATAGTAAGGTGGACAGTGTTTTTCGACTAGGCCATTTGCCTAATAACCTATTCAGTAGGTTAGTGTTTGAGTTTTTGCTTTTGGATCTAAATTAAAGAACAAGCCAAGGGATTAATAAAATATTAGGAAGAAAGGAAAGCTCTTTTTACTAAATGTATAATTCTAACATATGTATTTTTCCATAGCAAGATAGGAAAAATATTGTGCTCAGTTGTTGAGTTAAAAATCTTAGTGTACTAAAACCAGAAGAAATCTTAGGTTACCCTGCCCACTTATTTGATAAAGAACCTGAAATCATAGAGCAGGTACATGACTTGCGTAGGTTGGTAAAGAACACAAATTAAACTGGGTAGGACCTAGTAATTTGGGAAATGTTAGAGCATTTTGTAGTTTAGTAGATGGCTAATTAGTAAATCTCAAATGAAGTAATTCTCTTTTGGTGTGGAAGTCTTTAGATTTCTGACTTCTGATGTGGATATTGATTTTATCACTTCAAAGGGAGAAATAGGCTTTTTGTGATAGAGAATGGATAAAAGTGTGGTATAGAAATCAAAGTTGTTTTCATCAAGCTTATTTTTAGAGTCACAGTATGAATAGCTATCTATTAAAACAAGTATCAGTTCTTTAAATAATACATAGGTAATGCTTTGATAACACAGGATCTTAACTGATGAATGATAATTGAGACCTTTTAAGATGCAAAATGATTTGCCATGGTAAGAATGTTATGCTGGATTTTTCAGAGTTTACATTGCTATTATAGGAAGGCATCTTATCTTGTTGGTGTGTTTTTTTTTAAATTGATTTTAGAGAGGGGAATGGAGGGAGGGGAGAGAGAGACTGAGAGACAGAGAGACTGAGATTGAGAGATAGAGAGAAACACCCATTGTTGCCTCCTGCCCACCCCTGACCAGTAATCCAACCTCCAACCCCTAACCTGGGCATGTGCCCTTACCCGGAATCAAACCTGCCACCTTTTGGTATACTGGAGGATGCTCCAACCAATTGGACCACACTTGCCAGGGCAGGGATCTTGTTTTTAAGAACAGCATGATTGATTTTAAGAAAACTTATTGATAGATAAATATAGTAATGATTTACTTACTTTAAGCACTTTTCTCCCCAAGTTGCTTCTAAATACAGAGTACACTTGATATATTCACTTTATGTATTGATGAGATTGTGTCCAGATCCACCTGAAAGGGGAGATCAAATCATAAATTTTGTTTAAGCTCCAATATACTTAGTGCTTGCTTTTCTCTGGCTTTTAGTAAATTAAGGCTCATGTCTCATAGTGAGTATATGATATTAATGTTTTATAAAAATTTAGCAGTACTTTGGAAATGGGATGTGGTTCTCTGAATAAGAAACCATAACTTACTTCTTTGCTATAGTTCTTAAGATAATTCTTAAAACCTGATTGAATGGAATTTTTCCATTTGCATAGTGATTGTTTTTACCTTTTAAAATTTGTGCCACATTCCTTGTTTTTTTTTGGATGAGAATTTGCAGTCCCACAACTAGATTTCAGAGAATAGTCTGGAGTTTTTGTTTGTTCGTTGGATTGGTTTTAATTCTCAGAGCCCTTGTTGAGTATGGGCAAAATTAAGATAACTCGAGAGTAGCTGCTATGTAGAATGATTGGTGACTTGTTTGAAATGATCTGTTGTACATTCTAAACAGGGCAGAATAGAATTAAAGACAGGATAATTTTGGTTAGGTAAGATTTGATTTAAAATAGATGTAGATTTATTGCTGTAGGAAGTAACCTTGGTGGTACAGGAATTGAGAATTACATTTAGGTTGATTTTTAATGATGTAGTTCTTACTTAGTTTTAGGGGTTTATATATGTTTTTCTTTTCTCTTTATCTTTTTTTGTTTTTATGACCTTTAGTATCATAGTTGTTCCTAGTACAAGAACTTGGAAAGAGATTGTTTTTTTGTAAAACAAATTGGGAATCTTGTTGCCTGGTGACTGAGTTTGTTTCTTGACATTCAGATTTTAGTGCAAGATTCTAGTGATTTGAAAATCTATCCTAGGGAAACTTTCAACTAAAACTGGGCCCTCATTTTCTGAAATCATCCTAAACCTGTTATTTGGATTTTCTGGTAACTTTTAAGTTTTTTAGATAAAGCTGTAAAAGCAGCAGGAATGGTTATGCTCAA